CTGCTACCTTGTGTGGTTAGCTTGCCTCTAGGATGCTTGCATTTTTGGGATGCTAAGATATAAATTCACAGACTTCTTGTTGCGATCGATTTTTCATGAATCATGACATTTGATCTTTAAAAGTAAAAGAATTCTTGGTGTAACTTGAATTAAGATTTTAGAAGTACAGGCTTACAGAGTGATTATTTAACCTGAATACTAATTCCTAGATCCCATGCTTAATAAGGATTCATACAGCCGACCTCCACTAGCTTGAGGTGTTGTTTTTGTTATGTAGCTTCTTACAACTTAGTTATTTGTTATATTCTTCCACTGGAACGAGGAATTTTTTATATCTGTTCCCCTCCTTGAGATACAATTATCACTTAATTCTGCTTGTCATCTTTCAAAGAACTGGTCATGCTACTTGTTCCAATTTCCAAAATGCTTCAACAATCATATGATACCAAATGTATTTACTCCTCTATATGAAACTGCAGGAGAAGTCCCATTTCGATTGCTGCAGCAGTTATCTACATAGTCACTCAGCTTTCGGATGAGAAGAAGCCAGTTAAAGGTAATGAAAATGTGATTTTTATCCTTCTTTTGACATGGATACTTAGACACCAAATTCCCTCCTTGATAGGAATTGCATTTTTGGAACGAGTTTTCCTCCGTATTTCTAGTGCTGAATGTCATCCTCATACCCTATACATCTTTACACTGCTACATTAGCCCAGGCCTCTAAACTGTATGATGTTTCCTATGACGATTTGAATTGATTGTCTTTGTCCCGGGGGTGATGAGTTACATTGTAGGTTAAACTTGTATTCTGAAGCATCTGCATATTGAATATCCGACATGTCATGTAAAAAACTGTATGAACGCAGATGTATCACTTGCAACTGGAGTTGCTGAAGGTACGATCCGGAACTCCTTCAAGGATCTATACCCACATCTCTCAAAGATAATACCAAATTGGTATGCACAGGGTCAGGACCTAAAAAACCTCAGCAGTCCTTGATGAAGCTAAGCTAACCATGTCAACAAGTGACAAACTTTTTTCAAAAATGTCTTCAAGAATGTTGTGTATCGGAGGACCCTTCGATGAAATTAACAGGAGGGGAAGCTTCTTTTACCCTAACATGTGGGCTAATACACATTAAATTATTAAACAGTTCTAACTTAGGATAGATCTTCAAGTTAAATTACAAGTTGTAAATGTTTTTTCCTTCAAGTGATACTCTTTCTTCATAGACTACTGTACTGAGATTAACATGAAAATGTAGTTTCCAAATTTAACTTCATCACTTGTGCATCATCCTCTTTTAAGGATCTTATGAATTTATCAAGTCGAATTTATCTAGCGATTTAAGCACTAGATAAATTCGTAAAATTTACTTTAGGGAATGTATCTGTTTCGATAACGTTTATTATAACTCTATTCACTTCAAAGAATGAGACATAAACTTTAGGGTAATGGATCAATATCTAGATAGGTTATGTTATCTTATTTTTATTTTATATAAATTATAATATTTGAATTAATTTTACGAAATATTTATTACCTCCCACTAGCACCATCAATTGGTGGTGGCCTTAGGCCTGCCATGAATGGCATATTAGTAGAAGACAGATGAAGCAAAAGACAACCAATAGTTATATAGTACAAGATATTGTCCATCTTTTGTAGCCAAGTCAAATCAAACTTAGCAGGGACAACCAATCCACAGACGACATGTTTAATTCTGCGCGTGTAAGACGTGTGAAGAATCTCATATCAATGGTTTAAGAGATACATAATTATATTACCTTATGTATAAACAACAAAAAGGACTAACATTGCAGTACTTAATTGTACAATATGTTATGTGAGTTGTACTATTTATATTCTCTCCACATTTACCTTTATTTTACCTTATCAATATATAGGAAACAATTCTTATAGTGTTAGGAGAACCATATTTATAGAAAAGAGATTTAACTATCTATCTTTATTTTCCCAAATTATTTCTTGAATGAGTGTCAACTGCCACATGTCTAATATTGATATCAATGACTTAAGGTTTAATTAATTGAGGGCTATAACAATAATTTATGTAGAGTGGGAAAATAGGCAATTAATTGAGGGTTATAACAATAATCAATGGTGGCTATTTTCCAAAGAAATTGGCTACAATTGCAATTCAAAATTAGGCCATATATCAGCCAACAACAAAAAGGACTAACATTGCAGTACTTAATTGTACTATATGTTATATGAGTTGTATTATTTGTATTTTATCCACATTTATCTTTATTTTACCTTATCAATATTTAGGAATCAATTCTTATAGTGTTAGGAGAACCATATTTATAGAAAAGAGATTTAACTATCATCTTTATTTCTCCAAATTATTTCTTGAATGAGTGTCAACTGTCACATGTCTAATATTGATATCAATAACTTAGGTTTAATTAATTGAGGACTATAACAATAATTTATGTAGAGTGGGAAAATAGACAATTAATTGAGGGTTATAACAATAATCAATGGTGGCTATTTTCCAAAGAAATTGGCTACAATTGCAATTCAAAATTAGGCTATATATAAGCCAACAACAAAAAAGACTAACACTGCAGATACCCCAAAAAGGAAAAATATACCCCCGAACTATCGTAAAAGATATGCAGATACCATCCGTCATACTTTTGGGACATTGGAACCCATGTCGTCCAAAAACAAGAGCATATATGCCCTTCGCTCTAATGAAAGACTAAATAGGGACACGTGGCACAATCTTATCCGTCGATCCGATATTTAATAAATGTCGGGTCGGTGGATAAGATTATGACACGTGTATGTCCATTAGTATAAAGGGTATATTTGCTCTAGTTTTTAGATAGCAGGGGCACCAATGTCCCAAAAGTATGACGGAAAGTATTTGCATACCATTTACGATAGTTTGAGGATATATTTGTCCCTTTTCCCTTAAATTAATAGACTTCTAAACAATATACATTGAATCTGATTGTAGAAAGTTGTTCCATATTCCCACATTTATTGAAAGTTTCAATTTCTTAGTTATTACCTATAATTAGTTCGATTAAAATGTTTAATTCCTCTCATCTTCCATGGAAGTAATATCATGCTTTTTCATATTCTTTATAGGATTCTATAAATTTGGACAGAACAATTTATACTATTCAATCATATCGTATAATTACTTAGTGCATTTTTTCGTTTTTTAATCATGAAATGCATTAAACTCATGTCGTTGAAAAAAGATTATATGTGGGGTTTTAGAAGGACAAATTAAACAATATTATGCTCCAATGATTTAGGTTTATTCATGGGTTCATTAGAGCATTAACATTTTGTGTTAACTTGAGGTAATTCTGTATGACTACAGCCTGTTTGGTTTATCTTTTTAACTATTTTTGACTAATCAGTTTAAAAATATTTTTTGCTAATTTTAGAGAGTTCTTGGTGCTCAATCAAGGTTCTAAAAATGCTTCAAAGAAAAACAAGGTTGAATACATATCGACAATCCCTTAAATTTGTTAGAAAACTTCATCTAGACATTCGAACTATGATTTGTTCGAGTTGAACACCTTAACATATGATAAAGTGTTTCCATCAGACATTTCCGTCTCAAATTTTGAAAATATTTTTGTGTGTTTCTTAAGCGCCTATCATGTAGTCACATAAAATATATCACCTCCTTCAATTATACGCATCAATATCAATTGAAATTTGGAACACGCCTGAGGTTTTTAAGACTTATTGAAGCTAATGTGTATAACTAAAGGAGGTGACATACTTTAAGAAAGTTATCTTATCTACATAATGGATAGGAAATGCAAAAACATTCCCAAAGTTTTCATCGGAAATGTTTGATAGGACCACTCATCATGTGTTCAGATGCTCAATCGCAACATGCTATTATTCAGATGTTCAAAAGAAGTTTACCAACAAGTTAAAAGGGGCTAATCGATGTATTTGGCCAAAAAACTTCTCCTTTACTCAAAAGCACTTACATTTTTCTTTGAAGCTTTAATCAAACACCTCAACTCTCTAAAATAAACACTTCTTTTATTTTTAGTCCTACGATAAAAGATTCCCTTCAAGGGATTATTTATCACATAAAATGGCGGGATTACTACCTCATATAGAAGGTGAGATAAAATAACCCCATTGGATATCAGATATCCTTATTTATCCCATTCCGTGAACCAAATGGCCCCATAGTATTTTGTCCTATAATAAAAGATCTACAAATTAACAATACAAAGGACCACATGAGAAATAGTACTGGTCCTGCTCTGATGCACAGGCTGGAAACTCAGACCTTGTAAGTGTATTTTTTTGTTTTTTACCATGAAGAGGATGATATTTTTCTTTGGTAAATGGTAACTAAGAAACATATTTGTAAATAACAAACTTTTACTTTTTTAATGATGACCATGCCTGCTCCACAAAGCGGATCTATAATTTGAAGTTTATTATATGCACATTTTTAGTGAATTTTTTAACAAATATACAGAGTTTAGACCAAACTTACTAGGTTTTGCCGAACTCATACCTTCCATGCTAGCTCCGCCCTGCGGCAAGAACATGGGGGAAAGTTGGTAACAATTCAATATTGACTCTTCAGTCTCCTGTAGCACAAAACTCAAACTGAAAATTAAGAAGCTGCAGTCTAAATATTTAGTATGATATATTTTGAATTGTGAACACACAACACCTTTTTTCTACATAAATCCATAGCACAGAGAATTAAGAATATAAATTTTTTGTAAACACTTGTCAGTGGTGTAACAACAACGTACCAAGTGTAATCCCACTTGTCGATGGTTTTATTAAGAAAAAAAACAAAGAAAACGACTGCATACAGGCTACAGTTATACATGTTTTCCATACATTTATTAAATTTTTTAGCAGCCCACAAGCAAGTATGAGTTTTCATTGGATTCATGCATTATAAGAGCATCTATGTTTTCATTGGAAGCTGCAGATACTCATAAAACTGCAAAAAAATTCTAAGCATTTCCCAATGGCTGAGAACAACACAACAAAAAGCAATGGCCAAATAAGTGTTCAAGATGCACAAGTGGCTGTGGTTATGGTACCACTTCCAGCACAAGGCCATCTCAACCAGCTTCTCCACCTCTCGAGGCTAATCACCTCATATAATATCCCAGTGTACTATGTTGGAGCAACCACTCATATTCGCCAGGTCAAGTTACGTGTCCATGGTTTCGACCCTGTTACTACTAAAAACCTACATTTTCATGAATTCCCTACACCACCATTTGAAAACCCCCCTCCAAATCCAAATGCCTCTCATAAATTTCCTAACCATATTATCCCTTTACTTTATGCAACAATCCATTTCCGTGAGCCAGTGTGCTCTCTTGTAAACCAACTCTTAGGCGCCAATCATCGGAGAGTGATTGTTATTTATGATTCTCTGATGACTTGGGTGTTGGAGGATATACCAGCAATTCCAAATGCCGAGTGCTACCGTTTTAATGGTTTCTCAGCTTTCTATATGTTTTCATCCTATTGGGAAACCAAAGGAAAACCTTTCCAACCTGAAACTGAGATATTTGAGGACATTATATCAAGTGAAAACTGTGCTACCCCAGAGTTATGGGAATTGTGGAATAAACAAGGAGCCCTTGAAGGGAAAATTTGCTCTGGAGAACTTTACAATACATCCAGAGTAATAGAAGGTTCATACCTTGATTTAGTAGCCAAAGAAACTAATGGCTTAAACCTATGGGCTATTGGTCCATTCAATCCGTTGTTGTCTGAGCAGAACAAAGACTCAAACAAACAACATCAAACCTTGTATTGGCTTGACAAACAAGAAACAAATTCGGTAATTTATGTGTCTTTTGGATCAACTACTACCTTGTCTAATAAAGAAATCGAAGAGCTCGCCATCGGGTTAGAGAAAAGCATGCAAAAGTTCATTTGGGTTCTCAGAGAGGCTGACAAAGGAGATGTTTTTATAGGTGAAGAAAGGAGAGCTCAGCTGCCAGAAGGATATGAAGAAAGAATAAAAGGAAGAGGAATTATTGAAAGAGATTGGGCACCTCAGTTGGAAATTTTGGCACATCCTTCCACAGGTGGTTTTATGAGTCATTGTGGATGGAATTCGTGCATGGAAAGCATTTCCATGGGAGTTCCTATAGCAGCCTGGCCAATGCATTCAGATCAACCAAGGAATTCTCAGCTGGTAACAAAGGTCCTGAAAACTGGCCTAACTGTGAGGCATTGGGAACATCGGGATGAATTGGTTGCATCAGAAATTGTTGAAAATGCTGTGAGAACTTTGATGGCTTCACCTGAGGGAGATGAGATGAGGAAGAGAGCATCAGAATTAAGCATTGCTGTCAAACAATCAGTCATGGATGGGGAAGGTTACGGTGCAGAGATGAATTCTTTTATCGCACACATTACTCGAGAACTTTCTCATCTGAATTGACCAATTGATAGCATAAGTGGTTCAACCTATGAGACTTTATCAATGCTCTATCACCATCTGAGTGGGTTCAGTGTCCACCCTACTGCCCCTTTTATGCACATCCTGCATGTATGTTTAAGGATAAAAAGCTTTTCTTTATGAGTTCCTTATATTTTCTAGTATAAATGTAAAGGTCCTCCTTTACTAGCAACTAGTTCTTTTGGCCAGAGATATAAACTATTAGAAGCTGTTTGTGTAATCTTTCAAGAACATTTTGCTTGTGACTACTGAGTGATATAGTATGTCTTTAATTTTGTGACCTTGTATTTTCCATTCTGCCAGACTTCTCATGTTGGTAGGAGTATCAAATCTTGTTAAGTGTACTTTACATTATTTTCTCAACATTAATACTACTCATAATTTGCATCTAAACAAATAAGGAAGAGCTACGGTAAGCTTTCTTGAGAGATTAGATTTGAAATTGCAATTTGCTCTGCTGCAAAAGGAGGGCTGTAAAAGGGGGGAAATCAGAAGAGTTTGATATAAGGTAGCTCTGCTGGTATCTACTTTGATCTGTATTTCAGATTTAGTGGTAACTGTGGAAAATCTTCAATTCCTTGACCAAGTAAGATTGCTAAAGTATTTTTGAATCTTTGTGTCTTACATGCTAAAAAAAACCTAAAATACAGGGAAATGTTAGGGGTGCGTCCTTTTTCCGCATCTTGCTAAGGGAAATTTTGGGGCACCGAATTGCTCTTTCTTTATGTTTCAGTGTGGGTTAGTTTAGTCCATATTTCAAATTTGAGACCCCAAAAGATTACCTGCTTAATCAACTATAGTTATATGTATGCTTCATAAGTGACAAAACATAAATAATTAATGGTGTATGCTATTATTATATTTAACAAAAAACAACATCGTTCGTTATAGTACATGATACTTGACTTTTCCAAAGTGAATAGAAAAATGGTATATGTGGAGCAATAATTAGTCATGTGTTTCATTTTATGTGATACTACCTAGCTATCAAAATTGACACTAAATCCTACTTATAGCATTGACTAATTTAAGTTGCAACCAAAACCCACTATTAGTGGCAACCATTATAGGGATTACCGATGATCAAAATAGCAGGTAAAAACATACTTCCATCTGAAACTTAAATAAGAATAAGCAACAACTGCATATGCCCCTAATATTGACATTTAGTGGTGAGAAATTTTGCCACAAAAACAAGATACTAGCAACGACTAATTTTGTCACTAAAATATTTTTAGTGGCGACTATTATAGGTATTAGCAGCGACTATTATGAGCATTAGCGGCGATTAGTCTTGCCACTAAAACGAACTATTAGTCGCGATTATTATATGTATTAGCAGCGACTAGTATAGGTATTACCAGCGACTATGTTTGCCACTAAAACATACTTTTAGTGGCGACTATAATAAGTATTAGCAGCGACTAATTTTGCCATTAAAACAAACTTTTAGTGGCGACTATTATATGTATTAGCAGCGATTAAGGTTGCCACTAAAACTCACTGTTAGTGGCGACTAATATAATTATTAGCAGCGACTAAGTTTCCACTAAAACATACTTTTAGTGGCGACTATAATAAGTATTAGCAGCGACTAAGTTTGCCACAAAAACAAACTTTTAGTGGCGACTAATATAGGTATTAGTAGCGACTAAGTTTGCCAATAAAAACAAATGTTTAGTGGCGACTAATATAGGTATTAGCAGCGACTAAGTTTGCCAGTAAAATTTACTTTTAGCGCCGACTGTTATAAGTATTAGCAGCGACTAAGGTTGCCACTAAAATTTACTTTTAGTGGCGACTATTATATGTATTACCAGCGACTATGTTTGCCGCTAAAACTTACTTTTAGTTGCAACTATTATATGTATTAGCAGCAACTATGTTTGCCACTAAAACTTACTTTTAGTGGCGACTATTATTTATATAAGCAGCTACTTATTTTGCCACTAAAACATTCTTTTATTGGCGACTATTATATGTATTAGCAGCGACAACTTTTGCCACTAAAACATTATTTTAGTGGCGACTAGTATAGGTATTACAACGACTAATTTTGCCACCAGACATTCTTTTAGTGCCGACTATTATAAGTATTAGCAGCGATTATTCTTTGCGCTAAAACAAACTATTAATGGCGACTATTATATGTATTAGCAGCGACTAAGTAGTGATTTTTTCGTAAGATTGTGACTTTTAAAAAGGGTAAAATAAATAAGAATCTTGATTTGTGACGGTGTTGCATAGGCAGGTCGGTTGTTGTAAACAAGTGCAATGTTTATGAAGAGTGGTAACAAAATGAACGGAAAAAGCGGCGGTTGAAGGCTGAAACTACGTTCCTATTGTAGAGTGGGGAGGACAATTTTGGAAATAAATAAATAAAAAGAGAATCCTTGCTTCTGGTGGCGCCAGGTCACCGGGTTGAGGGTTCTTTTATTATATATATATATATATATATATATATATGTTTTTAAATTAATGATCTGAAACAAATCTTAGAAATTTATGTAGCGATAAATTATTTCAATTAAGAATAAAAGAAAAAAATTAAAGTTAAAATATGCCTAATTATAGAAAGGTGACAGCTTTTTTTGTCACGAATTAAAAAGAAAAATATGTCACATTAATTTGAACAAATAAAGTATACAACAATTTCATTATTTTTTAGAAAATAAATGATACTAACGTTTAACTTTCTTTTTTTAATAAAATAAAATAAAACGCAAATAGTAAAGAGATTTTGTGGATCTCCCACCAAACATTATCTTCAAAGTTGAATCATGTAGTTGAAAATGGATTATATAATTTAATGTTTATTTATAGGTGCATTAGAGCATTAAGATGAGGTAATTATGTATGACTATAGCCGGTTTGGTCGATCTTATAAAATCAGCTTATTTAAAAAAATAAATTATTCGGTGTATTTTTAAAAAATACTTTTTGGAAGTATCAGTTTATTTGAATAATCAATTTGAAAAATATTTATATTAAAACTAAAACAATTAGTATTTGACCAAAATTCTAAAAGTGTTTCGAAGGTTAAAAACTATTTCGCTTCAAGGAAAAACAACTTCTACTTTAGATGAAAACACATATATTTTTCCCAGAAGCTTTGATCAAACACTTCAATTCTCTAAGTGGACTCTAAAGAAGGTGGTATGTTTGCAGTCTTATACCTACTATGTGAAGATAGAAATATTGTTATCGATATACTCAACTCAAGTAAAATATATAAAAATCAAGTATTGTGAGAACTTATTTCTAATAAACCCTCGGCTCAACTCTTTAAAATAATCACATCTTTTATTTTAAGAAAATTCCCGACTTAACTTTTAAAATAATCATTCTTTTTTTCGAAAAAGCTTCTTATTTCATTGAAACTTGACTAGTCAGACTATAAATTAGTATTACCTAATTGGTGAGGATATCTAGAATTTTCTTTTGCGATAACATCAAATAATGGAGAAACTACAGCAACTGCTTAATATGGACAAAAACTGAAAAGAAAGTCTATAATGTCTGCTCCCATAACAAACATATATAGTATTTTATCCTATGATAGAAGATTCTAATAATAAAATAATGAGGATCTACAAATAATATATTTGTATTTTTTTACAATGAGGATGATATTTTTCTTTGGTAGCTAACAACATATTTTTAAATAACATGCCATTATGGTTATTATATGTACATATTCAGTGAATTTCTCGATAAATATTCAAAGTTTAGACTAAAGTTACTGAGAGTTTGCTGAACATTGCGGCAAGAACATGGGAAAGAGTATGTAATCAACTCAATATTGACTCTCTCCAGTCTCCTTTAGCACAAAACTCAAAAGAAAAACTAAGAAGCTGCAGTCCAAACATATAGTATGTTAGTATCTGAATTGTGAACATACAACAGTATGTTTTCTACATAAATTCATAGTATAGAGAATTAAGGGTATAACTTTTTTCGTAACCACTTGTCGGTAGTTCTACAACAACAATAACATATCCAGTGTAAACCCACTTGTCGGTGGTTTTATTACGAAAAAACAAAGAGATTTGATTGTGATTGCATAGAGATGCCTGTTCATTTTGTTGAGAAGGTAGCCTATTAATCATTTAAAGTTTTTTAGCAGCCCACCAGCAAGTACAAGTTGTCATTGGACTCATGCATTATAAAAGAATATATGTTTTCACCTAGACTACATGTAACTCAAGACACTTCAGAAGCTCAGATACTCATAAAACTGCAAAAATTTCAAAACATTTCCCTATGGCTGAGAACTACACAACAAAAAGAAGTGGCCAAATAAGTGTTCAAGATGCACAAGTGGCTGTGGTTATGGTGCCACTTTCAGCACAAGGCCATCTCAACCAGCTTCTCCACCTCTCGAGGCTCATCACCTCGTATAATATCCCAGTCCATTATGTTGGAGCAACCACTCATATTCGCCAGGCTAAGTTTCGTGTCCATGGTTTCAACCCTGTCACAGCTAATAACCTATATTTTCATGAATTCCCTACACCACCTTTTGAAAATCCTCCCCCAAATCCTAATGCTTCAAATAAATTTCCTAACCAATTAATCCCTTCATTTTATGCAACAATCCATCTCCGTGAGCCAGTGTGCTCTCTTGTACGCCAACTACTAGGCGCCAATCATCGGAGAGTGATTGTTATTTATGATTCTATGATGACTTGGGTGGTAGAGGATGTACCAGCAATTCCAAATGCTGAGTGCTACAGATTTAATAGTATCTCAGCTTTCCATACGTTTTCATGCATCTGGGAATCCAGAGGAAAACCTTTACAAGCTGGAACTGAAATATTTGAGGACATTTCATCAAACAAAAACTGTGCTACCCCAGAGTTATGGGAATTATGGAGTAAACAAAAATCCCTTGAAGGGAAAATTAGCTCTGGAGAACTTTTCAATTCATCCAGAGTAATAGAAGGTTTATACCTTGATTTAGTAGCTAAAGAAATTAATGGCTTAAACCTATGGGCTTTTGGTCCATTCAATCCGTTGTTGCTGACTGAGCAGAACAACGATTCAAATAAACGTCACAAAACCTTGGATTGGCTTAACAAACAAGAACCAGACTCGGTGATATATGTGTCTTTTGGAACATCTACTTCTTTGTCGAATGAAGAAATTGAACAACTCGCCATTGGGTTAGAGAAAAGCCAGCAAAAGTTCATTTGGGTTCTCAGAGATGCTGACAAAGGAGATGTTTTTGCAGGTGAAGAAAGGAGAGCTCGGCTGCCGGAAGGTTATGAAGAAGGAATAAAAGGAAGAGGAATTATTGTAAGAGATTGGGCACCTCAGTTGGAAATTTTGGCACATCCTTCCACAGGTGGTTTTATGAGTCATTGCGGATGGAATTCGTGCATGGAAAGCATTTCCATGGGAGTTCCTATAGCAGCCTGGCCAATGCATTCAGATCAACCAAGGAATTCCCAGCTGGTAACAAAGTTCCTGAAAATTGGCCTAAATTTGAGACATGGGGCACGTCAGGATGAATTGGTTACATCAGAAATAGTTGAAAATACTGTGAGAACTTTGATGGCTTCACCTGAGGGAGGTGAGATGAGGAAGAGAGCATCGGAATTAAGTGTTGCTGTCAAACAATCAGTCATGGATGGGGAAGGAAATGGTACAGAGATGGATTCTTTTATCGCACACATCACTCGATAACTTCTCATTTGTATTGAACAATTGGTTGCACACTACCATCTAGTTAACATAAGTGATGCAACCTATGACACTGTATCGATGCTCTATCACCATCGAAGTGGGTTCAGTGTCCACCCTACTGGCACCCCTTTATGCACATCACGGCATGTATGTTGAGGATAAAAACCTTTCCTTTATGAGTTCTTTGTATTTTCTAATATAAAAGTGGATGTCCTCCCAGATAAATAAAATATTGGATGCTGTTTGAGTATTCTTACAAGAACTTTTTGCTTGTGACCTGAATAACATAGTAGTATATTCTTTTAGGACTTTTATAGATTCTTGTCTTTAATTCTGTGACCTTGTATTTGATATTCTGCCAGACTTCTCATGTTGGTAGGAGTAGACAATCTTTTTAAGTGTACTTGACAATATTTTCTCAACATTTATAGAATACTCTTTTTTGCATCAAGACAAATAAGGAAGAGCTCTGGTATTCTATGAAGTTGTTCAACTAAAATATGAATCACTTTGTAACTATACTAACTTTTAACCTTTCACAACACTTTTTCAAATCTTACGATGACAAATTAAATAGTTAAAATGATCCATGAAGCTGTCAAAAAATCAGAAGAGTATGACACAAGGTAGCTCTGCTTGTATCTATTTTTATCTGAAGATGCTTATTTCAGATTTATTAAGCAGTCAAATTAGTGGGTGACTGAGGAAGGTCTTCGACTCCTTGACCAACTAAGATTGCTAAGCATTTTTTAATCTTTTGTGTCTTACCCTCTAAAAACAAGCTAAATTACAGGAAAATACTACATAATGCAGTCTATTATGACTGCTCCTTGACTAAAGTTTGCTCCATTATGTAATACTCCTACTATATTGTCCTACAATAAAAGAATCTGAAGATAGCAGTGTTTATAAGAACCACAAAACTAATATTGATATTTCTTTGATTCTTGCACTTGAAATAAACATATATTTGATTTTTACAATTATGATGATGAGGATGTAAATTCGACTGAGATTACAATGACAACTATCTCAGTATCTCTAATACTTACATGGGTGTATACTTTTTTTTTCTTCAAATAATATTTTTATGGTCTGCCTTTGCTGATGTTTTTTCCTCCATTTATATAAAACTCAACCAGTTGCTGTTGGTTTTACTGATAGACAACAAAGGATTTGATTATGACTACTTTAAGTAATATATTTTGCAGCAATATGTCAAATAAGAGAAGTTAAAAAATTTCAATATCTTTTAACAATTAAGCTTTCAGCAGCTGGCCAATAATTCTAGTTGTTGGATTCATGCATTAGACATAATCCTTATAAGATCATCTATGTTTTTCTCCTACATATAACTCAAGGCACTTCAGAAACGGCAGACACTCATCAAACTACAAAATTTCTAAGCATTTCCCAATGGCCGAGAACTACCCCATAAAAAGCGATGGAAAAAAGGGTGTTCCGGATGCACAAGTGGCAGTGGTTATGGTGCCACTTTCAGCACAAGGCCATCTCAACCAGCTTCTCCACCTCTCGAGGCTCATCACCTCATATAATATCCCAGTCCATTATGTTGGAGCAACCACTCATATTCGCCAGGCTAAGTGTCGTGTCCATGGTTTCGATCCTGTCACAGCTAAAAACCTATATTTTCATGAATTCCCTACACCACCTTTTGAAAAATCCCCCTCCAAATCCTAATGCTTCAAATAAATTTCCTAACCAATTAATCCCTTCATTTTATGCAACAATCCATCTCCGTGAGCCAGTGTGCTCTCTTGTAAGCCAACTTTAGGCGCCAATCATCGGAGAGTGATTGTTATTTATGATTCTATGATGAGTTGGGTAGTAGAGGATGTGCCAGCAATTCCAAATGCTGAGTGCTACTGTTTTAATAGTATCTCAGCTTTCCATACGTTTTCATGCATCTGGGAATCCAGAGGAAAACCTTTACAAGCTGGAACTGAAATATTTGAGGGCATTTCATCAAACAAAAACTGTGCTACCCCAGAGTTATGGGAATTATGGAGGAAACAAGAAGCCCTAATGAGGAAAGTTAGCTCCGGAGAACTTTACAATTCATCTAGAGTAACAGAAGGTTTATACCTTGATTTAGTAGCCAAAGAAAATGATGGACTAAACCAATGGGCTCTTGGTCCATTCAATCCGTTGTTGTCTGAGCAGAACAAAAACTCAAATAAACACCATCAAACCCTGTATTGGCTTGACAAACAAGTAACAAAGTCGGTAATATATGTGTCTTTTGGAACAACTACTTCCTTGTCGAATGAAGATATCGAAGAACTCGCTGTTGGATTAGAGAAAAGTATGCAAAAGTTCATTTGGGTCCTCAGAGATGCTGACAAAGGAGATGTGTTTGCAGGTGAAGAAAGGAGAGCTCAATTGCCTGATGGTTATGAAGAGAGGCTAAAAGGAAGAGGAATTATTGTAAGAGATTGGGCGCCTCAGTTGGAAATTTTGGCACATCCTTCCACAGGTGGTTTTATGAGTCATTGCGGATGGAATTCGTGCATGGAAAGCATTTCTATGGGAGTTCCTATAGCAGCTTGGCCAATGCATTCAGATCAACCAAGGAATTCTCAGTTAGTAACTAAGTTCCTAAAAATCGGCCTAATTGTGAGGCATTGGGCATGTCGAGATGAATTGGTTACATCAGAAATAGTTGAAAATGCTGTAAGAACTTTGATGGCTTCACCTAAGGGAGATGAAATGAGGAAGAGAGCATCAGAATTAAGTAATGTTGTCAAACAATCAGTGGTGGATGGGGGTGTTAACCGTGAGGAGATGGATTCTTTTATCACTCACATTACTCGATAAGTTTCCCATCTAGATTAATTTCATCAATGGTCATCGAACTAAGCATTTATTGCATGAAAGTGTGGCTTTGATGAAGTCAGTTATGAAAAATTGGTAATTCAATCATATTTAGAGGACACTAATGTATTTTTCTTTATATTTTACTTTCTTCATTTTGTCTATGTTCCACCAAAACCATAGCTTATACTTCAACAACCATCTTTCTCTCTCTCTCTCTCTCTCTCTGTTTCTCTCTTTGTTGTAGGGTGGCGTCCGGTTGAGTGAGGACTAATATATGTGTAATATTAGTTATCCGTGAAACACATAATTTTACTTGTATTTTTCCTTTACTAAAATTTTAAAGAGTTTTTTAGCAGGATAACAAACTACAACAACATTGCCGACCACTAGTTAGGCCAATATCCCTGTGAATCAAATATGTGAGAAATGAGGCATTCCTCTGTTCTCCTTAACATTAACTTCATGGATCTAAAATATACGTATACTGTAATATCTAGTAACAGTTACTCCTAGTTTCATTTCTCTACGAGGTCCAACTTGATATATTCTATTGTGAATCAAGTCGACTTTGTACGGGCTTATGTGTTAGAAGTAGCGAATGAGGCTGATTTGGATGGGATAATTGGGCCGCGTAAAATATTAGAGAGTTTTATTTGGGATTCAGGCCCAATTATCAATTGGTTAAATAGGAATAGGGGTTAGACAGAAAGGTTATGCGTATTATGAAGAAACTGTCTTTTCCTCTCATCTTCTTTCTAGAGTCTTAACTTCTCATCCTCATTCTTATCTCTATCTTTAGTTACTTGTTATTTCAGTACTTCTCTTTGTAATTCAAGTGTTGTTATTATAATTTGGTTATCAATGGATATAAGGTTTATGTATCTGTATTGAGAATTCGGGTTTGTTTCATATTCGTTTTTCTTACTCACCAAAGAGCCCAAGTTCAAATCTTAGCACATTCTTTTGTCTTTTATTGATTTCTCGGTCTTCTATGCGACTAGCCAAGTAGTCATATTCATTCCTATTGACACGAATAGAAACGAAAGAGAAGGAAATGACATTTACAGAAGATGATTCAGGGTTGAATACTTCAATCCCATCAGCTAATCTAAGCAAGAACATGGAACTAAAGGAGGATCTTTATCCAGCAGTGTAAGTTCTACACTATGGTCCTTAATGTGCTCCATATCTATCAAATTTTCCTCGTATACCAAACACATCGAATACAGGATTGAACTGAATCAAACTAATAAATTAACAAGTAACTATGAATGTGGTTTAGAATTTAAGTCTAGAAGGCAGCCATAACATTTTGTACCTGAAAAGCAGCAGGGGAGGGTGCTTGAGCTCGAGTATTAGGAGTTATGGTTGTCCTGCAATCAATTTGGCAAACTGGGAATCAATCTTTTAACTCCCTAAACACCATCTTCTCCTAGACTTCATCCATTTTCACAATTCTATGTCCATTTACTGCATTCTTTATATCAAATCAGGAGCACAAGTACTCATTTTGGTGTTTTTTTTCTCTCAGTCATTTTGTCAAGCACCTTGAGTGCTTTGTAAAAAATCTTAGCATACAATCTCAACAATTCTTTGCATTCCAACAATTTTTTCAAATTTATCTTTTTGGATAAAAATTTAAACTTGATCCATTCAACTTAACATTCAATTTATTACTACATTTTTAAAATTGTGAGTTCAAAATTTAACATTCACTAAACATCACACATTTTTTCTTTGAAACTTTGCTATGATTTGTCAACACCAACTTTAAATATGTTTTATTAAAATTGTGAACTTGATAAGATTAAACTTTAGATATTTTTAACTAAGTTGTGGTATTAAATTTCCATTTTATTACATTATATATTACTCCCTCCGTCCCTATTTACTTGTCCATATTTCCTTTTTTAGTTGTCCCTATTTAGTTGTCCATTTGACAAATCAAGAAAGGACAACAAATTTTTCCTATTATACCCTTATTTACACTTCTTGAAAATTGTAAAAGTGTATGTTTTTTCCCTCCAATTTATTTCACTTAAATTCAAATAAGTGGTTATAATTTTGAAGTGAAAAGTTGTCATAAGGGTAAAATTATAACTTCACTGTGCTAATCATTGTTGCCTTAATCTGTGTGTCATTTCTAAAGTGGACAACTAAAA